CATAAATTTTTATTTATTTGGCACAATTTTTTGATATCATTATTTTTCTAGGAAATTTTTTTTATAAATACATATAACAGTTTCTTACAACTAGCGCGTGTACTTGGCGCCTCTTTTTACCTTTTTTTAAAAAGTACATATATACCCAGCAAACATCGAATATATCTGCCATATAACATAGATGTAACATATGCACTTATTACGTACATGTTATATGTGTAACAACCCTGCCGAAAATGGTCGATTAAAACCGATTAAAACATAATCCGTTTTAATCGGTTTTAATCGGTTCAATCCGAGAAAAATTTTTCTAGTTCCTTTTCTAGTTTCTTTAAAAATAAATGTATTTATAAATTTATTATAAAAATTTATAAATTATTAAAAAAAATAAATAGAAATGGAAATAAAACATAAATAGAAATGTATAAGACTTATACACATTAATCTTACAGACTATGTTTTACTAATGTTACTTATACCTGTAGCTGCATATGATGCATGACAAATAACTATATGATGACAATCATTTGACAAATACATTTGAATACACTGTATTCCTTTTTACATCTTTTGCTTTTGATATAATCAGGATACAAGACAGATTAGTTAGATAATTTATAGCACAGCACAAGCATATAGTAATATATTTTAATTTTGATTATAGTATTTTTTTTAAGAGAACGTAACATTTATCACTTTTATAAAAGTACTTGATTTGTTTAATCTGTCTTGTAGATATGTAGCATACACAACAACTATTTTGTAAAACAGTTTTTTAGTTTAAATATGACAGTGTTTTTGTATTATATATTATATTATATACGGAGTGTCCCAGACCACCCGTATATCCCTTTTAAAATTTAAATAAATGGCTTTTATCAAAATTCGCGAACATTTTTTAAGTAAATCGGGTATGCTCTATCGAATGGTGATATTTTCAACTTTTGATTTCGACCGGAAATACGCCATCCGGACCGGATGTTGAATTTTTTGAGGAGAACTTTCAAGGTCAATTGTAAGGTTGACAGAGGCACTTTCAGAAAAAAACGTTTGATACAAAAGTTTCTTATTTTTTCACGTACAATTCGAATCTGTAATAAAAAGTACTATGTTCCCCTCAAAAAATTCAACTTCCGGTCCGGATGGCGTATTTCCGGTCGGAATCAAAAGTTGAAAATATCACCATTCGATAGAGCATACCCGATTTACTTAAAAAATGTTCGCGATTTTTGATAAAAGCCATTTATTTTCATTTTAAAAGGGGTGT